GTCATAAACCTCCTTTTTGCAAAAAAAAAAAGAAAAAAGAACATCTTAGAATATCCAAACATTTGGTGTTATTATTTGCAACTAATTTATCTTGCATTTTTACATTTTATTTTTGTTAAATATTTCTTTTGTTTTTTTTTTAATAACGTGGAGTAATAGGAAGATAGGATATCGTGAGGTTCTCAGAGCCCGATTATGTGGTATTCTTGCTTGAGTGAAACTCTCTTGGAATTACGGATACGAGTGTGACTGGTTAAAATTGACCACAACGGTCATGAAAATCTAGGTCTGGTATGGCTTTTACAAAAGAATTATTTAACTCCAGTGTCAATTTAAACATAAATTTTAGGCTTAAATTAGTTTTTAAGCTCTTTAATTGGCTTTTGGTTCATAAATTAAATTGGCTTTTAAATAGGAGGTAGCTCAAAGACTCGTCATTAATTATACTATCTGTGTTCTCATGATCTCATGAATTATGACATGGTGATACATAAGCCTGCAAAAGCAATCAAAGTTTTAATTCTATTGACAGTTTTACAGCCTCTGAGTGCAGCAAAATATTGAGATGTTCATCCCTTAATGCATCCTACATCCTGTAATTATATTAAGGATTAGAAGTTTGTCATTCACTTGGGCTTTGCCTTCTCTTGTGTGAATATATATATATATATATATGTGTGTGTGCATAATGTGTTCACATCCTATGCATCTAACTTTGTCTAATAGATTCATTCACATTATGACGTAAAAGGCACAAGCCTTTTTTTTTTTGGGTGCTATGTACAAATATCCTTTTATTATAGGCAACTAGCAAATGCTCCCCCGTGCGTTGCACTACAAGAATACACTGTCAAGTTCTAACATAAATGGATCTAAAATCAAACACAATATTATGATGAAGTAACAAATTCCACATTGACAACACTTTCTTAACAGACAAATAAAAAAGTAATCTTACCCAGCCGTTACACTTGTGACACATTCCTAAAGATTTCTCTGTAAACAACATTTCTTGTCTTTGTATTCGTACAACTTCCACTCTCACTGATAACAATCTTCAAACCTTCAATGGATCTAATTCTTCAACCCCAATGCTTAAACAAAATGAATAAAAATCACTCAACTCATCAAACTGCTTGCAAGATTTCACGCAGGCTTGAAATGCAGAGACACATGCCTTGTATGGTAATTTGAAGAAGCTATCTAGAATAACAGAAAGACCATAAGAGATATCCCTATAGAGATCAAAAGTCTCCTGAACGACGGCGTATAGAGAGATTTGAACTAAACGATTTGTTTTGGCTTCCCCAGTTGGTCTTGTCCCCACAGCTCTGTCCAACAAGCGTTGCCAGAAAGTAATCTTGTCAAGAAGCATTGATGGCTTCATATCTTTGATTATTCCCGCAGTATCGTTGAACATCTTGTGATTCTTGAAAGGGTTTTGATGATTCTTGAAGGTGATTCTTCGTTGAAGCTTCCCTGTTAGGAAGCAATCTAAGCGTTCATCAAGGTACAAAGCCATTAATCTGACAAAAGCAGTGAATTCCCATGGACTAGAACTTGAATCATCTCTAAATCCTGAAAGATTCAGGATTCTTGAGCCTCGTCTCATTGCATGCAGGATTTCTCTAGGAAAATATGGATCACCATCCTGGAAAATTCTGAGAATGATCATGAGAGATTTCAAGGCAACGACCCAATTTCTTGTTTTTCCAATACGTTTGCCAATAGATTGAGCACATGCAGCTGCATAAACTTTGTTGGATGATACGAGACTCACAATTTCATTAACGTAACGTCCTTCGATGGGAATCTCATCATGTGTTGTGGCTTTGAGGATGACGACGTCAAGATTTGCTGCATTTGTTACCTTGGCCAGACTCAGGCTAGTTTGATCTTTTACTGCACCAATGGCCTTTCTAAGCTTGCTTGGCATGTTTCTGGTCTATAATTCAGTTTGATTTTGTAGTAATAACTTTGTTTTTGCCTTCAGATTTGACTTCTGGGCATGATGGGTCGAATTATCTGAGAGGAAAAATGATGGAAAATTTTTGTGATTTGGGTGAGAGAAAGGAATAATGGAAAGAGAGTAGTTTGCAACATTGCTTATTTCAGCAGAGGCTAAATTTAGAGTGTGAATTTTAATGGTTGAGAGTGGAAATGGGAAAGTTTTGTTCAATTTATTATATGCGTTTTACTATTTTAAGGAAGGATGGAAAAATCTGGAGTCACCAGTTATTAAATTCGAACACACTAATAAAATCTTACAACCTAGAAAATCTAGACTATAATATACAAGAGATTATACCAGACATGCAAATCTAGTTACTACCTAATCAAACAATTGATGGAAACAATTTTATGAACTTTTAAGAAGCAAGAGGAGTTTTTCCCCTTTATTTTCTCTCCCCTTTTTGTTGTTTTTATTATGTATAGGAGTTTTTTTTTTTTGACATTTCAAATGAAATATTGATAAATGTATTCGCAAGGGGAAAAAAAAGAGAAACAAAGAATTGTGTATTATTGGCCAAGGTTTTTTTTTTTTCCCGGGGGATTAAGCTAAAACAACTTATTTTCTGAATTTTTGAGGGATCTTGTAATTATCTCACTGACCAGCTATTGGTGCACCTTGTTTTTTGCGTGGTTAGATTGCTGCATAAACATATTCTATTAGGTTTATTTTTAATGCACAATATTAATTTTCTAGAAAAACAAAATTTTGGGACCAAAGTAATGGTGGATGCTTATGGGTTTGGTTGAGTTGGAAGTCACGGCAAAAAAAGAAGAAGAAGATATTTTTGTGGAAATATGTTATGGTTGTTGATAAATTATATTTAAATTTGTACTCACTTTTTAAAATAATTCGATATTCAGAAAATACATACAAAATCATCCCTTAAATCTTTTAATTTTAAAATAGTTTTAATTTCTTAAGTTTTTTTTTCATTCCGATTATTTAACTCAATTTCTTTATTTAATATTATTTGTGAAAATGCTTGCTTTTTATTTAGAAAAAATTACACTCAGGTCCCCTACAACATGTATGTAGTTGCGACCAACATTGGTTGATAAAACATTCTCAAAATGGTTCTGTGGGGAATTGAGCATTGGACCTCTTTATAACCATTGAGTTATTTTTTATTAAAATTAACAATAGTGAATTCGTATTTGTTGTTTTTAATTGTTTTTGTTGATTTGAGATTGCTTTGGATACAGTTTAGGTTATTGGAACCTTGAAATAAGGGCTTAGATTAGAATTATCGCTGGTAATGATAGTGAAGGAGTTGGAATTGCAGTTAATTTGAACTCCTATATGCTTCATTTGTCTCATAGTTTATGTGATTATATGATTGTAATTGGAATTGTTGGGCTACATGGATTGATGTTGTTCTTCTTTTCAATGTAAACAAGGTGGTTACTTGAAAAATAAAACAATTTTCTCAACAAAACAAAAAAAGAGAAAAATCTTATGAAAAGAAGTGTGAAATTATTAAATTTTAAATAAAAAATTCAATAAAAATGTATTGTTATTTGTAAATTTAATGTTGTTTGAAATATATATCAAAGTGTTGAAACCAAATTTGACTTGAGTTTTAGTAATTTCAAGCTTTTTTTTGGTGGGATTCTCCCAAAAAATTCTAAATTTAACACCAGTTCTATATTTATCGGGGTAAAAAAACCCATTTTTTTCACTTGTAATATTAAACCGCGTGGAAAGTCTATTATTCATATTAGTTATTGTCGCAACCATGATAGAAGGTGAACAATTTTTTTTTTTTGGGTTTTTTTAACTTTTCTCCACTAGTTATATTGGAATTAGTGTAGAAAACATTTTTTAACCGTTATATAAGAACGCCTTTCTGTGTTAATATAAACTGAAAAGGCTACTATTGTTCGTCAGACTAACTGAAAATGGAAAAGAAAATTAACTAACAGAATGGAAAAGGGACCACGATATTTTTTTTACCCAAAAAATCACCTTGCTTATGAATGGAAAATTTAAATCTTAAAGTCAAACTTTTCTAAAAAGGAAAGAAAAAGACCCGTTGCATAAAAAGAATTGTATATGTATATATATTGTATACAAGACTGACAACTAGCAACAATGAATGTATGGAATTAAATAAACACTAAACAATAATCAAGGTTACATTATTACAATCATCCTTTAATTTATTTACTCTAGAAAATAATCCAAACACAATCATCAATCAAATATAAAAGATGATACTACCTCCGATTCTAATTATGAGATCTCGTTTGAATACTACAGACATGATCTTATAATTAAAAATGGAGTTAGTATATTATATTAAACTCCTGTGTGTGTGTGTAACCAATCTGCCTTTTCTCAGAAGCAAGCGTCCAAAACACAACAGCAACACAATGCCGCACAACTGCATAAAATTGGTCAAACCAATGCTCAAATTAGTTCTGGCTTAAATAAAGTTACATGGAAAATCATTTTTAATTTGTAAATTTATTTAGTATCAGAATTTTCAATTGAAAAAACACGTATCAAAGAACTACTTCATACCAGTTCAAATAACCTTTCTTAATCTTTAACATTTCAGGAAAAAAATTCACCTAAACATTTATTCTGTCTGGATAAATCCCATATACCTTTAAAACTATATTTTTGAGAATATGTAACCTCTCAAGATTTAAGTTATATATAAGCTCAAAAACTTTATTACTGCCAGTAGAAAAATTATTTACGTAAATGAAGGATTTTAAAAGAATTCATTGCAAAGCTTGAAAATGTGAGAAAATTATATATACATAACATAAAATTTAGGGAAATTATGTAAAATTTTCCCCAATTTAAAAATTAACTCATGTATGAGATATAACTAAGGTTTGGTAGCAATTGAAAATCATTTTCAAATATTTTGAAAAAGTTGTAAGTGGTAGGTACTATAATTGAGCCCACCATTTAATTTAAAGCATCAAGGAAAATGTGAGAGAGAGATATATAGAGAGAGAGAGAGAGAATATACCATCCTTTCCAGAAGCCATCGCCTCTGGACTTGGTGGTGACAGGAGCAGCATTAGGGTTTGGTGAAGGGTCAGTGGTGGGATAACCAACTGGTGGAGGAGCTGTATATACACCAACTGGTGCAGTTGTTGATGGTGCATTAGGATATGCTGTTCATTCGAAGACAAAAACAAATTAATGATTAAATTAGTCTTCTTGCAATTTTTTTTACAAAAAGAAAATCTACCCATCATGATCTGAAAGAGAATAATTAAGATATGATTAAAAGGTTAACAATATTGTTGGTTCATACAGTTTAAGTTTTGGTCTGCCTTAGTTTCAAGGTGGTTTTTAATCCTATGGTTTCATAAAAATTTGATCCGAATCAATGTTGATAAATGTAGGGATTAAAACCAAAAATTGTTTTAAAATATAGAGACTAATTAATTGTACTTTTAACAGATTTTAATTTTGGTGGTGTTAGCTCACACCAAATCTTTATAAAACTATAGGGGTCAAAAATCATGTTTTGAAACTATAAGAATAAAATTAAAATTTCGATCAAATTATAACAACTAATAATGGTATTAATTTTATATTAAACATAACACCTTAAGTATATATTTTTGTCCATTAAAAAATTCATTACATATTTTTTTGAAAAAAAGGCCATCCATAAGTCATCATACAACTCATGTTTGACGTGCCACATTCGTAATGCAGTGATCTAAATTATGAGCGATAAAAAGAGTAGGACCCACATGAAGAAAATTGAGGCCAATAATTATATTATCTTTCCTTCGCCTTAAGAGCTCAGCCCGATCAAAGCAATCATAGTTTTATCATAAAGTCAGAAATTACTCCTTCATATTTTCTTACCACAGCAAATAATATGGAAAATTCTCATTCCTAATTCTACAAAAAGTCCTACAAATTAAAAACATGCATAACAATGTTGCCATCTCTATGATATATTACATAAAATCTCGTTTGTAGTCTATAAATAAGATCTTATAATTAAGACCGGATTTAATATATACTTGCTGGTAAATCCATATCTTCTAATAACTGATAAATTAATTAAATTAAATCCTAAAGTTAAAGGAGGTCAGAAGGCAAGCTAAAAACTTGACCAATCTTAATATTGCAATTAAAAACTTAATTACCTGTTGGAACACCGGAACTCATGGTTGAAGGAGTATATTTATATGTAAACCAAGCTCTTCTGCAACTAAAGAACTGAGTTGAACTGAACCAGACGACCCAGAAATATATATCTATATATATATATATATATGGAGAGATCAACGAAACGTCGATGCTTACAAGAAAATAAACGAAGAAGAAGAAGAAAGATGAATATGAAGGAGGAGGAGGGAGAAGACAATGGTATATTTATAGAGAGATCATCGGAAGTTGCTTGGAAGGAATCAACATGTCGCTAAGGAAAGAAGATGAGAACACGACGTCTGCATCCGCGTGAGCAATATAAAATAAATTATAATTAATTAATTGAATATTCTGAATGGACACGTGTATCTTCGTTCCAGATGAATCTGATCTAATTAATTAATATCGATTTATGGTTGAAGACTAAAGTCTTATTGTTTTGTAAATTATTTTTTCAACATTTTTTTGAAAAATTATCCTACACAAAGACAAGTTGCGATTTTCTATAACATTCAAAATAAGTGTAATCAAAATAAAAATAAAAATAAAAACAATGTTGAGATAAAAAGTATTCTTCATGTTTTTATATAACAAATAATGAAAATGACAGATATTATCAAGTATTGATATTCAAAATTATAGTAAATATTTATATAATAATTTACACGAAAACAAGCAGTTAATTTTTAAATTTTCAGGATTTGTCAATCAATATGCATACATGTATATTGTACAAAAATTGCAGTGTAATTAAGATGACCGTTATATTGGGTATACCTCGTCTATGAAAAAAAAAAAAAAACTAGAAATATATGAACAATACAAATGCACGAATCTTTATATCCCAGATAAATCCGATCTTTTGGTTAAAAAAAAAAAGGATAAATCTGATCTCCTATCAATGGTGAAGTTTTATTCTATTTATTGATTCCTAGCATTTGTTTTTGTCTAAAAGATCTCTGAAAATTATAATAATTTTTTGGTATTATTTTTTTGGTGACCATAATATTTTTTGTTACGTAATAAACTCTTGGCGGATCCACAAAAAAGATGTACTTACAGTAAAATATACATGATAGAACAAGTTAGTCTTTAAGAATAATTAAAATACTAAATATTTTTAAAGTAATTTTTAATAATTTTAGATATTCAAAAGCAATTCTTTTAAAATCTCCGGTCTACAAACGATATAGAGTAGATATATCTTCGGTCTACCTCCGGTTCTCCAGTCTTTAATATAAGAATTTATTTGATTTTAAATATAAGATTCCAATCCACTTTATCTCTAAAATTTATCTATTTTTTAAGGTAATCCTTTTAATAACAGTAGTTCTAACTAATCTCTTGATTAGCAGGTATATTTTAGAAAAAAAATACCTATTTATTACAAATAACTAGTTTAATTTATTTCTTTAATCTATTCAAATTAATTAACTAGCTCTTATAATTTTATACGTCTTCCAGATGTTGGATCAGTATCCTAAAACTAAAGTAACCATAAATTCATGAGACGTGTTGGGAATTTTTTAGGTTTTATTATTATTTTTTCAATGGTGAGCTGGGCCGGCTTTCATCGGCTACCTAATCCACGTCTTCATTTGTTAGCCGCGTGGACCCTTATTCATTCTTTTGGACTTTTCGTGTTAAACAAAAAAAAAAAAAAAGCAATTGTCCCATGGATTAAGCAACAAACTATTATTCTTATTATTTATTATAAGAAATAATAAATAATATTCCTGTTTGTTTTCTTAGAAACACAGTCTATGTTGGTTGAATGTTTAGGTCGCCAGCGCAGCTAATTTTGTATTTTGTTGATTGTCTGGTGACGCTAATATATAGGAGAATTTTGATTCTGTTTTTTCAAATATGTGCTAGCATGTAAGAAAATTAAGCAATATAAAAATATTTCGTATGAAATCAAACTGGAAATCAACTTTTGCTATTAAAATTTAAAGTATTTAAAGTATATACAGTAATTGTTTTGTTATTTCGTTTATAAAAAAATATTGGTTAAAGTAACATTCAACAATTTGATGTTATTTAATTTTCTGATATATCCAGCAACCCCTGGTGTTATTTCTCAGTTACGTTTAATATCCTTATCCTATTTATGATTTTTAGCTTATTAAGGTACTAGAACAAGATGCACTATAAAATTAAGGTGTTAGAAGTATTAAAAAACTTAAGTGTTGGATATATGAAAAATAACATGAGTGCAGCATGCTACTTTCTCCAGAAACTTCTTTTTTTTTTTTAATTTTAACATTTTAAGTTTGCATGGTTTAACAATTAAAATAGTATAATTGAAAAAAAAAATTCTATTATGACTCAACTTACGCGGATCTCATGCGATGTAAAACTTATCAACGGGTTGATTGATACATTATAGGTATCACTGTAATATGAACACACATATGCATATGATTTCTTGTCTTCAGAACAGTTTTTTATTTTGAAAGAAATAAAAAATTGCTTGAAAATATGTCTATTAAAAATAATTGAGTAAATATAAAAAAATTATGTCTTCATCTTTACCACTTTATATATTTTTTCTGTAAAAGTGTTCTGGAAACATAAAAATAAAGAATAGAATCAAAATTTTATAAACATTTTACTTTTATTCTCATCGCAACCCTTTCTTTTCAATTAAGCATGAACATTTTTCTTCTGTTAAGGCAACACGATGCACAAGGTGAAGAGCCATTCTTTAAGCAATTCGTCTACTTTCCACTTCACTTTTCTCCTCTCTTCCTTAAGTTTTCGATCTTTTATTTAAATTTTAGTGAAGTCAGTTTATTCATTCATTTTTTAAAAAAAAATTAAACATCTATCAATAATGCTTTCATCAAATATTAAATATGAATCATTAAAATTTTATCAAACCGTGCGGATTTAGCAGAGGAGAGGAGGCCTCCATCAGAGAACCAAGATTTAAAAACAAGCAAAAGAAAATTCAGGTTTTTTAGTTTTAGCTCCTTCTACAAGTAAGTAGTCATGTAATTTTTTTCGGATTTTTGTAGCTCAAATAATACTAAATACTACCTCTTTTAAATATATTTTTTTAACACGAAGATGTGAGTTTTAACACTTTGTAGAGGGCATAATGAGTGCATGAATTATGATAAAAGAAGTCATAAATAATTTTGTTTTGCATATTTGGGTCATAAACCTCCTTTCAGCCACCAAAAAAAAAAAAATCTTCGAATATCCAAACATTGGTGTTATTATTTGCAACTAATTTATCTTGCATTTTTGCATTTTATTTTTGTTAAATATTTCTTTTTTTTTTTTAAATAACGTAGAGCAATGGGAAGATAGGATATTATGAGGTTCTCATAGCCCGATTATGTGGTATTCTTGCTTGAGTGAAACTCTCTTGGAATTACAGATACAAGTGTGACTGGTTTAAAATTGACCACAAGGGTCATGAAAATTTAGGTCTAGTATGGCTTTTCCAAAAGAATTATTTAACTCCAATGTCAATTTAAACATAAATTTTAGGCTTAAATTAATTTTTAAGCTTTTTAATTGGCTTTTGGTTCATATTCCAAAAAATTAAATTGGCTTTTAAATAGGAGGTAGCTCAAAGACTCATCATTAATTATACTATCTATGTTCTCATGATCTCATGAATTATGATATGGTGATACATAAGCCTGCAAAAGCAATCAAAGTTTTACTTCTATTGACATAGTTTTAGAGGCTCGGAGTGCAGCAAAATATTGAGATGTTCATCCCTTAATGTATCCTACGTCCTGTACGTACTTATATTAAGGATTAGAAGTTTGTCATTCACTTAGGCTTTGCCGTCTCTTGTTTGAAAAAAAATATATATATATATATATATATATATAATATGTGTTCACATCCTATGCATCTAGCTTTGTCTAATAGATTCATTCACATTATGACGTAAAAGGCAAAAGCCCTTCCTTTTTCTTTTTTTTTTGCTATGTACAAATATCCTTTTATTATAGGTAATTTTATTTAGGGCATTGTTGAACATTTAATATTGGCACTTGTTTTAGTAGAGATTCAAACTTTGATTTGTGATATTGTGGGGAACTAATCTATTTAAGCAAGACCTAACCTTTGTAAGGCAAAAAGCTTTTTTTTTTTCACAAGATACAAATATCCTCTTATTAGAAGCAATTCTGTTTGAGGTACTGTTGTATATTAAATATGAGTAGCTCTCTCAGAGAAAATGTGAATCATGACTCATTATGTTTTAAAGAACTAATCCCTTTTACTAAATCCAACCTTGTTAATCCAAACAGCCAGTTAGTTAACTTCTAATGTTTACATGATAGAGACAGAACCAGAGGTGAATTGTTTTGGTTCGGACCTAATTCAAGGGATGTTTGGATTTTCATTTGGACTTGTAAGAGCAAATGGGCAAGTGTGAAACTAAGGTACGGGGCTTATTTGGATTCATTTAGTTGCTTGGATGGGCCTTTAGCCCAACCAACTTTTGGGGCAAAATGGTAGCGCGTTCCAACACTAGGAAAAGTAGCTTATGGGCGTTTAATAAGGCAATTTATCGTTAAGGAGAGTATTTAATACTCATTCAAAATACCACCTACCAAATTCGCCCTCACATTTTCCACTTACTCTTCTCCCTCTTCTCACTCAAACAGATCTCCCTTTTCTCTTCTTCCGTCCGCGTAGCCGCCGGTTCTCTCTTTCTGTTCTTCTGTCAAAGTGGTTACCAATTCGGCCTTTCTCTTCTTTTGTCAATGTGGCCGCTGGTGTCCAACCCAAATTGAGGCCGCTGTCAAATGGTCCACTAACTGAAATCCATGCATATTCTAGGTTCTCAAGGAAGCTTGCACCATCTTGCCTCAACCAGATATGATTTACAGAGATCAGCCCACTGAAAAAAAAAAATTGGACACAATGATTAATATATAAAATAGAAAACATCATGATTAATTAATTTATATTATATAAGATAAGAAAAGATGAAACCGATGAAATAAACCGAAGCATGCCACTTTCTTAATGTGTGGAATGATGTTGCGTCCATTTTCTTTGAGGAAATCAAAAGCCACTTCATTGACAAAGTTATTAAGTGCAAGGAAACTAATTTTCATGCAGTCTGGAAGTTCATCCATGGCATTTATATCCCATCTATGTCATCAAAGAGGTATAAAATGGCAACAAATGTTGGGATATATGCATCCATATATGGATACACTTGCATGTATGTATCATAAAAACACAAGACTTACCTGTTGACCACTTCGGTGAAAAGTATTAGTTCTTCCAAACTACCGTGAACATCATATATATCATCAATTATAGTTATCATTCCATGAACCTTTGAAACCACTCTTCTATCCTTGACACCCCTCGCAAGCTGGAGCATGAACATTTTTCATGCCGAGCTTGGATATGAGCTTATGAAATCTTGAATGATGTAAGGGCTTGGTGAACACATCTGCAAGCTGATCAGAGGATCTGACAGGAAGTAAATGTATGATCTTTACTTGAAGCTTTTCTCGAACCAAATGATAATCCAACTCTATATGTTTGGTTCTTTCATGGAAAGTGGGGTTTGCTGCAATTTGCATGGTAGACTAATTGTCACAATAAAGGAGAGCTGGATCAAGATGAGATATATTGAAGTCATTGACAAGATACAAAAGCCATTGACCTTCACAGGTAGTAGAGGCCATTGAACGATATTCTACCTTTGAAGATGACCTTGAAACAGTAGCCTGTTTCTTGGCTTTCCAAGAGATCAAAGAGGAACCAAGAAATATTACAAATCCAATCACAGATCTACGTGAATCAACACAACTTGCCTAGTAAAATCACTAAAACTTCTGAAGTAGAAGAAAAAAAATATTCCAGCACGAGGAGAAGATTTTATATAATGTAAAAGTCGATTAGCAACCTATAAATGAATGTCAGTAGGGGCTGACATGAAATGACTCAACTGTTGAGTGGCAAAACTGAGGTCGGGTCTGGTGGTAGTGAGATACTGAAGTCTTTCAATTAATTTTCTGTACGCCTGAGAATTTTCTAGAGGTTTGCCTTTGGCTTTGGAGAGCTTGAGATGAGGACCCGTCAGTGAGGAGGCTGGTTTACAGGCTAAGTATCCTGTATCCCCAAGTAATTCAAGTGCAAACTTCCTTAGAGAAAGGAAGAGGCCATCATTAGATCTAGCAAGATCTAAACCCAGAAAATATCTAAGATTACCAAGATCTTTAATGGTGAAAGTGTTGTCTGGTTGTTGTTTGACAACATTAACTTTAGACAAATCATTGCCAGTAAGAACTACATCATCAACATCTACCAAAACAATAGTAAATGAAGAAGAAGAGGCCTTAAAGAAAAGAGAGTGGTCAGAAGCTGATTGGGTGTATCCATAAGAAATCAAGATAGTAGACAACTTTGAGTATCATTGTTGACTAGCTTGTTTAAGACCATAAAGGGACTTCTGCAACTTGCAGACCATGTTAGGTTGTGGAGGAGTAAAGCCTTTTGGCAGTTCCATATAAACCTCTTCATGCAAATCTCCATGTGAAAAGGCATTGTTGACATCAAGTTGTTGAAGGAACCAATTTTTGGCAGCAGTTATAGAAAGTAACATTCTAAGAGCACTCATTTTTGCTACCAGTGAAAAAATGTCAAAATAACCAATCCCTTCATTTTGAGTATACCTTTTTGCAACCAGCCTATCTTTGTACCTTTCTATTTCACCATTAGCTTTGAACTTAGTTTTACATACCTACTTACATCCAATAGGTTTCTTACCAGGTGGTAAAGTAGTTAAAACCCAAGTTTGGTTCTGTTCAAGAGCTTTGATTTCTGCCATTATAGCATCTCTCCAATTAGAGAATTTAACAGCTTGTGAATAGGTTTTTGGATCAGTGACAGAAGAGACAGTTAGATCAAAGTTTTTATAAGCAGGAGCAAGAGAAGAGTAAGATAGGACATTAGACAGTTGGATATCTGATGCTCCATCTGTTATTCTTTCTGTCTTTCAAACCTAGGACTCCTGAGCATACATTTAGCATCCTCAAGGCCTCCATCCTGAGCTTGCTACATGGTATTGCAGGCCAAACATGGGCCCTAACAATTCGTGGGGGTCTGATCTCACCATTCTTGGGGCTAATCGTTCTACTGTTTCTCCTATCTGTGCTGATATTTCTTGCTATGCGCATGATCATGATGTTCGTCAATGACGGCCAGGCAAGGCTAAGGAGGTTCAGGGGTTGTAGGGCCGGTCGCGTAGCCACGACTAGGGATTGACTTGAAGTGGACTTGCGCATGGCGAGAAGGACTACAAGGACAGACAGATATCTTTGTTTTGAGTTCAAATAAAGGATCGTGCATGGCTTACGTTTTGTTTTTCCACTTGTTCCTTTGGCATGAGCCATTTATATTCTAGTAGCAGACTTGTTGTATTGGATGTGGTGACATTTTTAAATGTTTAGAAATACAAATTACACTTTACTAGAAAAAAAAAGTTTAGAGGGCTCTGATACCATGATACGAAAATAATCTGGAAAAATGATTACTTGCATTTTCACATGAGAGTAATATTTATACACTTTGTACATAACTAACTATAGTTAACATCTAACAGAAATATATAACAAATCTGGCTTAAATAACAAGTGTGTTATTCTATCTCTGACAAAACTCTTCCACATACACATTTTATAATGACTATGTGTTTAATGACTACGTTAAAGTTAATGACTATGGTGACATTTTTAAATGTCTAGAAATACAAATTACACTTTACTAGAGAAAAAAGTTAAGAGGGCTCTGATACCATGATACGAAAATAATCTGGAAAAATGATTACTTGCATTTTCACATGAGAGTAATATTTATACACTTTGTACATAACTAACTATAGTTAACATCTAACAGAAATATATAACAGATCTGGCTTAAATAACAAGAGTGTTATTCTATCCGTGACAAAACTCTTGCACATATACGTTCTATAATGACTATGTATGTTTAATGACTACGTTAAAGTTAATGACTATTTGTGTATTATCTTTTTTTTTTGTGAAAATAATACTTATTTCTCATTTCAAATACTCACACTTAGTATTTAATCACTTATAGGTTATATAATCCATGTCTGATTCAATGGAGGGTTTGGACAAGGGATGAGATAATGCAAGATTTAATAATAAAGATGAACAGTCTTAATTACTTCCTACTTTACATGAACACCCAACACAATTATCAGAGTTAAGTGTATTAATGGGTCAGTATGTGACACCTTTTGTGTGTGAACAGCCATGTAGAACTAGTGAACAAACAGGTTACTTATAGGTACAAAAACTTTTACACAAACATGAAGGACGGTATAAGGATATGTTTCAAATGGAAACAGAGACATTCCACTGGTTATGTTCTAAATTGGTTGAACATGGGTTATAAAATTCTAAGTACATAGGTGTCTATGAATCTGTTGCCATGTTCTTGAATACAATTGCACATGCCCAGTGCAACAGGATGATACAAGAAAGGTTTTAGTATTCAGGAGAAAATGTCAGTTGACAATTTTATAGAGTGTTGGATGCTTGCCTCAATTTATCTCGTGAAAATATCAAGCCACGCAATCCTACATTTTCTTATTGTCACCCAAAAATAGCAAATGATTCATGATACTTTCCATTTTTTCAAGATGTAATAGAAGCAATTAATGGCATCTAGGCCACATAAACTGTAAGGTTAGTTATGCTAGGCAAAAAAAATATGTTAGGAGAAAGGGATTTCCAAATCAAAATGTCATTGCGGTATGTGATAGGGATATGTGCTTCACTTTCACGTTGGCGGGGTGGGAAAGTAGTGCACATGATGCTCGTGTGTTTCATTCTACTATCTTAACTCCATCCATGAATTTCCCTCATCTACCTCAAGGCATATTTCTTTAAATTTCAAATAAATTATTTTTAAATCACTTTTCAATTGCATTATTTTCACATCAGCATAATAATTTCATGATTTTTTAGGCAAATATTATTTGGTTGATGCTAGTTATCCTATTAGGATTACGATTTTGATGATAACAAATTATAGAATATGTGTTTTAGTATGTTGATCGATCAAAGATTTTATTGATAACTTGATAGATAATATCTCTGTACAAGCAAGTAACTTAGTAGAAACATTAATCGATAACTTGATAGATAATGTGTTGATCGATCAATTGATCAATCATTATTAACTCAGTTATGTGTAAAAGTCTGCAGAAAATTATCGATCAATTGATCGATAATCAAATGATCAAATAACTGTCAGATAATGGGAC